TATATATATGACAACATCTGGAAGACTTGGGGTTCTGCTGGTATTTGAGATAAATTTAGACACACAGTATGATCACCAGTTAGAAAAAAATGGGAGATGGAATCAAATCATACTTCCTGGCACTTAGCAGAACTCCTCATAGGAAATAAAAAAGATGAAACAGGCATATATTGCCATTTGTGTTCACTGTAATGTAACACAAATGTAAATGTATATCAGACCTAAGTTCTAATATTTTTAGTCTAAATTTTTTAATGTACCCCCTACTAAGGTAAGTGAATCAACATTATGGTCTGAGATAAATGCAGATCTACATGCCTGACTGAGTCACATGTATAACATCTCCTCATCCCCATCCTCACCTCTAAACAGGAGACATAACTGACCTGGCCTGGAACAAGTTTCTTTTCTTCCTGCAGGAAGCCCCTGGAGGCTCTGACCTCAGTCCCACCTATGCCCTGGTGGTTACGGGTTTTAGATGTGCAGTGGATCAGCCCAGGATCAGACATTTTACCTGGAGCATGAGCCTGTCCCAAGTCTTGGTAACTCCACTGTTTTTCCATTCATCATCATTGGTTGGGGGGCTGTTGTTTTGGTACCTTACCAGCATCTGCTTCAGGAAGAGGTTAGGTGTGAACTGCAGGGGTGGGGACAACACAAGTGAGAACGTCAGCACACCAACTCCCAGAGGAAGGTAAATCCTTTATTAGAACCTTTTGCTAAGGACATAGAGCATTCTCTTGGAGTGGTACTACTCTTAAGGACACCAAGCACAGTTGGCTAGGGCTGCTCTGGTTTTTCATATAGGAAATAAATCACTGCATGATGAGGGTAGACAGATGTTTTCAGATGGCATAGGTTAGGAAAAATAATGAAAAGAAGAGATAGAAAGATTCTGAATAGTGAGTGACTCCCATGAGAGAGGTGACCAGTACCAGGATTACCAGCTTGTGCCCTGGGAGTCAGGCTGAGTGGGCTCAGGATTCTCAGCATCATTTGTCAGCTGTGCATCTTTAGTTATTTTGCTTTTTATCTCTGTCTTTCTCTCTCTCCACTTACAAAAGACAAGTGATACTTCACATTCCTTAGGTTTTTGAGTTAAGTAAAACCATGTCTGTATTATTACTGTGTATATTAGCATGCCTGGCACATCTTAAAACACGTCAGTCATTAAAGTGTTATGCTATCATCATCTTCGCCCTGTGCTTTGGGGAGCATACTCACAAAGTCTCTTTGCGTTGCTGCTGTGATGCAGGATGCAACTTCAAAACCATATACTATAAACATCAGAATGAAGTACTGGAAAGGAAACAAGTGAGAAAGATAGAATTAGATTGGTCTTCAATTGGAAACTCCCCCAAATGATTGCTCTGAGGTTTCAGTACATTCATCTAAATATAATATCCAGCCATTTATGTAGTCACTGCACAAACCCTCTTAGATTGGCTGCTTGGAATGGAGCTTAGTACTGGGTGCTAGGAATAAGCTCAGTTATTTTGATTCTTTCTAGATAAATAGTCATTCAATTCAGAGTTTTCTCATCCATCATTCTGAATTTTAACCAGGGAGAGCTAACCAAACAATGAAGGGATGTGTGGGTATTTCAGAGTGTTTGACAAGAGAGTCTTAGTGTGTCACATGTTACGCAGAGCGTTTTAAATCCCTCTTCTTCATGGGAGTCATTTTCTTCATGGATTGCTGAAGATGTAGACTGACAGAAGTCAGGAAAAGATGAACCAGAACATGTTTAATGGATAGTTTCATCAATGAGGAGTAAGCAGCTTCAGTCACACAGTGACTTGTTGACACTCTCCTGTCAAATACCCCTTGCTCTAGTTACATCAACTCAGGGGAGCGAAATAGCTCTCTGTGTGGGGTTTATGATGTGTCTGTGCATGCTGGTGGCATGCCCACCATGCATTAATGCTTCCACACAACTCTGCCTCCAGTCTCTGGCTGGAAAATAGTTGAACAGCAAGTGCCTGCCACTCTGTGTGAGGACCATTTATGAAAGCTGGGTCTTTACACAGTTTTTCATATGCACTTTAGGTTCTTGTGTCCTTCTTGGGAAGAGGCACTGTGGTTGGAGTCAGTTGAAGAAGGCAGGGGAAACTGTCCTTCCCTTTCCCCTTCCCTTCGCCCTTCCCTTTGCCCTCCCCTCCCCTCCCCTCCCCTCCCTTCCCCTCCCTTTCCTTCTCTTTCTTTCCCTTCCCTTCCACAGCTGTGTTTTCCTGTGTCAGGCACACAGAAGACCTAAAAGGAGCCCAGGGTTCCGTGAAGGTTGTCTTTAGAGACATCTGCCTCTCCTCTCCCTTCTTCCTGCATTCCTTTCTCCACTTTTTCAAAGTAGGTACATTTGCCCTGGAACTAACTCACACAGAACAAACAGACAAAGGAATTATTCTGCTCTAGGGTGCTAGGGCAATGGTTCCCTCAGAGAAGTAAACCAGCAGGCCCCTGAAGTGGCTGGGCTTGTTCTACAGAAGTAGAACTCAGGACCTGGAGCATTTGGGTAAGAGAGTTATTTCATGGGAAGGGAGGTGTGTGTGTGTGTGTGTGTGTGTGTGTGTGTGTGTGTTTACGATGAGGCAAATTTCTGCCCTAGGGAATGGGGGCACGGGGCAGAGGTGTAGGTCAAAGTAGGAGTTTCTCTGCTCTGCTGGCTCAAAGTTTCAATCTGAAAAGGCAGGGCAAAATCTTGTCAGTGGTTTGAAGTTACAGACTGGTATGAATGGAAGGTCACATAGTGGTACCTCTCAAGATTTCCTAGGGTTCCCATACAGCAGAGTAAAGACTGTGTGGGCCCTCTTCAAAAGAGTTCTTGTTTCCTTAGAAAAATTCACGCTTACTTTGTATGGTGTATCTTAATATATAAATGTTTAATACTGAAATAATACTTAAGAGTACTTATTGTCAAGGGAAAAAATCCAATAAGCAAGCTCTCATTGTGTCTTTTCTTTGGCTTCTCTGATTCCTCGCTGGATGTGTTGGGCACATGTAGATAGCAGCTGGAGAAGCACATCTGGAAAATACTCAGCTGGATGCCCCACAAGTGTTTGCCCTTTCAGTTCTTTGAACAAGAACCTGGATTTGCAGTTGAGGAGGGCATCCTTGTCCCCTGCATGGACAACTTCGCCACAGTGAATCACCTCCTTTTACAACCTCATCTGGAACTCTGCTCCCACCTAACACATTGATAACTAAAGCTCTGTGCTCAGCAAAGGAGAAAAACTCCACCAAAATTCGTCCAGGAACTGACTATAGAGAGTTTGTTGTTTGTTGCTGTTATTTTGAGAAAGGGTCTCATAAAGTCCAAGATGGCCTTGAACTTGCTATGTAGCCAAGGATGACCTTGAACTTCTGATCCTTCTGCCTCTATCTCCTGAGTGTTGATATTACAGGCATGTACCACCATGTAGAGTTTATGTGGTCTTGGGGATTGAATCTAAGGCTTTAAGCATTCTAGGCAAACACTCTTCCCACTGAACTACACCTCCAGCCCATAGGGTGTTGTAAGGTCTTACCGCCAGAAGAATTTTCCTGTTGGACTTCATAATGCCTACAATGGCTAGAACAGATAAGCAGAAGAGGCAGATGCCCACAAACATGCCGATCCAGGCAGCCCCATAGATGTCATCGTTGTTGGTGGCTTCAAGCAGGGGGTAGAGACTGTGTTGGTCAGATACAAAGAAGATACACTCTGCAGTCAGGGCAATGCCACACATCTGGGCACAAACCAAGAGTGGGTCTGTCAGGCTGGTGGCCAGAAGCACAGTATTGGACAAGGAGATGGGTGGGGTGGGCTCAGAGCCAAGTTCCTTCCCTAAACTGGCTTTATACAGTGGACTCCTTTACAACATCTCACTTTCAGGAAATCTAATGGCTATTTCCATCCTGCTTCCTTCTTTTACATATTGTTTTCCTTTGATACCTTCTTCTACTTGTCACCCTGTCTTATTGCTATTTGGGAAAAGACAGGCAATTTCAGATCAGCTATAAAGCCCTTAAGGAATGGACCACTCAGACAATGCCTTCATGTATAAAGGTTATCCTACCCGACTGATTCATCCTTCACATTCTTGGGTTGTCATACTTGAAGTGTCCAGGCAGTACTCACAGTGAGAGTGTCAGTGATTCTCTTTCCAGTGCTTTACAGTAAATGGATGAGGATTCTTGGCCCTGAAAGGTGATGACTTGTTCCCGTACAGAGTCAGAGGCAGAAGTGGGCCAAGGGCCAGCTCTCCTGACTCCCATACTAGTGCTCTTCCCCATCCCTATACCCACAGAGAGTGACACTGAGTCACTTTGGCTTTCTGTAGAGAAGAACAAGGACACACTAGCCTCTTCTCCACCACCCTTAATACCATAGTCCCAAGTCAAACTAAGGTGAAGTTGATAGAACCACAAAGGTGCATGTGGGGTGGCTGTGTTTGGACACTGACTGTGGTAAACATGACTCCTAAGGTTCTTATGCTTAACATTGAAAGGTAAGTGTCTACTTTATTATCTACCATGGTCTTCTGACGTAATACAGAATTATATAAGGCTATTTACAAATTCTAGCTATCATATTTATTACCACATTTCTTAAAATGAAGGAACTATACAGGGGACCAGCAATTGTGGCCATTATTTTGCTTGAAATTCTCACTTTTGATTAATCTAAAAATCATGCTTACAAGAAGAACATAATTTTTTGAAAAATACTAAAGACTTACACCAACAATCACATGTCCAAAAATCAGCAGGCCCTGGAAGCAACGGACAGTGGAATCGTCTTTGGTCATCTTTGGGATTTCCCACAGCTGAAGACACAGTTGAGAGTGTTATAATTTGACAGGAGCCTGTGGAATTCTGTTGCAGTTTCTACAATATGACTAATGACTTTCCATTGTATTTTTGCATCCCAGAGCATCCAAACCAAGATCACCAGATCTTTTAGTAATGGAAGAAATTTGGTACCTGGGGTGAGCAATCACAGACATCTTAAAAAGGAGAAAATCCCAGAGCATCCAAACCAAGATCACCAGATCTTTTAGTAATGAAAGAAATTTGGTACCTGGGGTGAGCAATCACAGACATCTTAAAAAGGAGAAAATAAAGGCTTACCAAGTCTGATCAGTGCCTTCTGCTATGATGAATACTGGAGACACCCTTCTGAGAAGTGAACTGAAGCTCTGAAAGGTCGTCAAGGGCAGGAAAAGCAGATCTGAGATGTTGATGATGGGGCTGACACACACGGAGAGTCCCTGGTACTGCCCTGCCACTTTTGGGCACTATAAACTGCAACTCACAAGGGAAAGCAAAGAATAGGCGGGGCCCCTGTGGCTTGCAGGTTGCTGTTTAAAAATTCAAGATTTTACATTTTTTGGTTATTATCCTTAGCCTTTAACGACTGTGCTATCCCTCCAGTCCATGAAAAGCAGTGTGGAGAGCTCTTGTAAAACTAAATATGAATCTACCATATGACCTAGCTATACCATTCCTTGGCATATACCCAAAAGACTCATCCTTTTGCAGAGAGAACTTCTAGAACCATGTTTGTTGCTGATCTTTTCACAGTAGCTAAGAGATGGAAGCAACCTAAGTGTCTCTCAACTGATGAGTGGTTAAAGAAAATATGGTTCATTTATGCAATGGAGTTCTACTTAGCATTAAAAAAGATGAAATAAAGAAATTTACAGGTAAATGGATGGAACTAGAAACTATCTCAGTCACCGCCCATCAAAGAAGTGTCTTTTTCAAAAGATAGAGATAATTACAGAATTCCACAACTGCTCTCACGTAGAGATTGTCTGTGAATTTCCCAAGCCTAAGTGGTACATCTAGGATGCAACCTCTACACCTAAGGCTCATGGAGCATAGAACAGGGATGAAAAGAACACTAATGCATCTTTCGATTATCATCAATGAAGCTCTCTCGTGCAACAAAGGGCCAGGAATGCAAAAAGCCACAAATGGCCAAAACGCAGAGAATAGGAGTCTGCAAAGTGTAGATTCTTGGACAGGACTCATATATTAAAATCTACCTACCCAGGGCTCAGGGACCATTGTGGAAGAGGGGACAGAAAGATTGTAAGAACCAGGGAGGAGGTGCATGACCATACGGAAATATTCCTACAGGCTCTGGGACTCTTCTCATACGAACCTACAGCAATGGTGTCAGGCTGCACAAGACCTATGTAAACTTAAGCAGACAAAAACCCAGCTCAGAACTGTGGAAATGGACAGCAGGCCCCAATCTTAGTCAAAGAATTATTGGCAGCTAATTACTGCTGGGTGAGGAAGAGTTGATCTTAAAGGGAGGGACAGGCTGCCTAGACCCCAGTGGATGAACTTGCACTGAGAGACGTCTGGGGACACTAACTTTACATGGTAGGCCTTAATGCAAATGACGGAATGTATGAACTCCAGTGGTGGTTTATGGGAGGGTGCTAAGGGGGAAAGGAGTATAAAGATGATTTTCTGTACGAAATACATGGAAATTCAACAAAATTTTTTTTTAAAAATCAAGATTTTCTGAATCTTTTGTTATCTTAAAAAATAGTTGGCAAATAACAAAGTTCTGTCACATGAAAGAAGCACAGAGAAGAGAGGGACATTAGCTGCTTCTCCGTGCCCATCTTCTAAGAACTTTACACGCACAAATCTAATTCTCAGAACCCAACTAGATAGAAAAAGAAGAGGGAGGAGGAGGCTCCATTTTACCCACCAGGAGACTAAAGCTTAAATTGTGAAGTAGTTCTTCAGAGGTCACACAAACAGCAAAGGCAGAGTTTGGTGACATCTTTGGTCTGTGTGACTGTAGGGTCCATATACCTGCCGTCTACACCTGCCCCCAGAAACCATTTCTAGTTTATGCCAGATGCAACTAATCATGGGCCTCTGACCTCCTTGGGGATTCTCTGGAAGGATAATAGGATGTTTGGGAATCATTTTGGTTTCTGCATTTGAAGCACTTTCAACACTTTTACCCTTTAATAAGCTATCAATTTATGCTCTAAATCAAAAGGTAGTAAATGACATGTTTCATTTTGAGGAATGTAAAGATATGCAAGGAAGATTGTTATGTTCTAGGATTTTGTGATTTTGAAGAGAAACTAGGTTCCCAAGTAGTTATAATCCATGTAATGAGAGATTCTAAATAATGTGGGAGGTCCAAGAGGAAGAGAGGTGAGCGTGGCAAACTGTGATCAGTGCTTTGTTCAGTAGAGTAGAGGTGTGGATGTGTAGGAGGAATGTGGGATGAATGGCAGACATGCCAGGGAAAGTTAGGGAGTAGAGAACAAAGAGCATGGTGCTCACAAGATAGCAGATTAGCCAGTCTGGCTGAACTCCTGGTGTGTGGATGGGATCTGTGGGACTCAGGTCTTACTAAATTTTAACTCCATTGTTGCACTGTAATACATATATTGATAACCTAACATCCCCCAAATATTTTTGCTTTTCTATTTACCTTGAAGGCTATGAAAATTTAAGGCATTAAAATGTATGAGTGTTTTTGGCTCAGTTTTTGGCCACTCCATAAATGTTTGCCAAAGGAATGGAAGAATTTGGGCTACTGTTACCCTATTTCCCATTCAGCGTAGAGTTTCTGCTTAGAAATGCCACTCATTTCTTTGCCCTGATTGCTACTCACCAAACCACGATAGCCTTACAGTACCTTGAAGGCTCCCCTGGGAGAGTCTGACTCGTGTAGCCAGATCAGTTACATTGTAAAGTTCATTACTGGCTTGCACAGACGTTAATCCTGAGCAGCTGGGCTGCTCTCTAAACTAGACACACAAATAGACTGCGAAAGAGAAATTCAGGTAGCAGAAGCACAGAGAGTAAGGTAAAATATCCGAAAAGGTCAAGTTCAGCTTCCTTACTAACTAGTCTCATATTGGGCTACCACCCGCTTGTCACGTAGCAGTCTACAGGTGGTGGTTATCTGGGCTCAAAGAACAGAGAGAAGACAATTCCTTCTTTCAAAGAGCTTAAAGTTTGACTGTAGCAACATGGATTCAGAGTCGAATTAACCAGACCCAGTGTTAGTAAAGGAGAAAACAAAAAGGGTATGCAGAAAAAGGAAGGAATCAGGGAGACACCCAACAAGAGGCCTCCACTGGTTCCTGAGCAAAGCATTTTTGCCCTAGTGACTGACCATGCTTTTTGAAGATGCTTTTTTCCCAGTGTTTTAAGAGGGGGTGATACTCCCTTGGCCTTTTGGCTCAGATCAGGTGGAAAAAGGAAGGATAAACAAAAACCTCAGGAAGAATTCCAAGAGTCAGACTTAGGATGGAAAAATGCAGACCAGAGTGGGGAAGAGAAGGAAGGAGGCAGGCAGGAGCTTGATTTGAGCAAGAAAAACAGGGGGGTAACCTGGACAGGGGCACAGAATGAAATGCGAATGAGGCAGCCCCACTCTGGGAGGGCAGCTTAAGAGAGGCAGGATTGTACCAACAGGGAGGATGTTCTAAATTTGTAGGCTATTCCATTTTTCCCCCATCTGTGGCACACAGTAACTTAGAAAGCTGTGCTTGTCTTGAGACTGCAAAAATGGTTCTGTGGTTAAGAGCCTTTTACTACTCTTGCAGAAAATAAGAACTCAGGCAACAACTGCCTGTAACTCCAGTTCCAGGGATCTGATGCCCCCTTCTGGCCATTGTGGGCAGTAGCATGCATGTGCACATACCCACACATACGTACACATAATTAAAAATAAATCTGTCACTGTGTGTGGTGGCGATCACCTTTAATCCCAGCACTCCTTTAATCCCAGCACTGGGAGGCAGAGGCAGGCGGATCTTTGTGCGTTCAAGGCCAGCCTGGTCTACATAGTGAGTTCCAGGACACCTGGGGCTACAAGGAGACCCTGTCTCAAAGACACACACACACAAAAAAAAAAAAAAAAAAAAATTTTTTTTTTTTTTTTTTTTTTTTTTTTTTTAAAGAAAGCCACCCTTGTCTTCTGAAATGACAGAGACAGATGGAAGCTGCTGTCCCAAGGTCCTCCCTCCACAATGTGCTCAGGTACGTTCTAGACTCTTTATGCTCACTGTTGCAACAGATGCAAACAATGAGTGTTTTTGCTGAAAATCCCTGTTTATTTCTTATTGTTACAGTACCAAATTTCATCAGTCTTACAAATATCTTATAATTTGGAGGCAGAAGTGAGCTTCACTGGGTTAAAATCACAGCGTGGGCTGGGCTTCAGTTCTCAAGGATTTACCATTTCCTCTTATTTTGAAAATGAAGAGAGAGGCTTGGAGGGATTTGTTTGCTCAAGGCCACTCTACTAGAACATGCAGGGCATAAGAGCCAAACCCAGGTCTGCCGGACCCCAGGTTATTTAGCACTTCAGTTTACCAAGTCCCGTCACACTGCTTACTTTATATAGAAAATGCAACACCTGGCTGGTTTCCTTGTCAACCTGGGAACACACAGAACACACACATTTTCTCTGCTCAAAAGAGCCTGCCTTTGCAAAGGTCAGAAACGCCAGGCTTCTTCCCTCACACGTCTCCAGGGTCTTTCTTTTCTTAGCCTTTCCACACACAGCTGTATTCATACTTTCCCTCAAACCAGTGCTGCACTCACTTTCTTCCAGAAACTGTGAGGATGTTTTCCAAATCCACAGCCCAGGGTCCCTAGGTGGAGGAGAGGCAGGCTCACACCCACTTCCTGTTCCCTGAGCAGTGGCTATTCTGCTGGAGGGGCCTAGAGGCCTCACGCGTACTTGTACTTCTTTTGGTTTTCTTGGCTGGCTTGAATTCAAGGGGTAAAAATCTCACTGGGAAAAGGCTTCTTGACTGTGCTGGGGTGTGGCCAGAGTCAGGTACCAAGTGGCACGTAAGTCCATATGGGAGGGCCGCCTGTACTTTCCCTCAGCATTCCTGACTGGTGAATTCCTGTTATTCCCCGTCACTCTGACCAGTGTTGAGCCCTCTCCCCCAGGCTTCAGTGATGACACATGACCTCTGAGGTTTTCTTTTGGGCAAGGGAGGCTTTCTTCCTATCCTTTTGCATTCTTTCTTCTTGGTGTCACCTATGTCATATTGTAAGAGGCTCCAAAACAGAAAGCTTTGGGACTCTGTTATATTTTTCGTAGGTTCAGGGTGGCATAATGCCTGATACATAGTAGGTACTCAGACAAAGATTAAGTAAATAAACGTTTCTCTGAATGAATAAATGAATGAGTAGCTGAATGTATGGGAGAATGATTTTGCCTAGAGCAAATAACATCTAAAAAATATCTTCATAACAATTCCTAGATTGGCATTTAGCAAGAAAAAAAAAAAAACCCAAAAAACCCCAGCTAGACACCATGTCTTAGCATTATCACAAGATGTTTATT